CCTTTACACAGGGATCGTCATTTCTAATTTGATGTAACTTTTTTGTTTGTTTTATTGCTGAGCAACAAAATTGCAAACTAAATTTTAATGTTTTAATTAAATGTTGTAAACGAATCTGATTTTTTAAAATGTAAATACTGTCACTCCACGAATAGAGGACTATGCAGAAGACATCGGCAAACAAATCAAAGCAACAACTAATGCAATTGTGTTATAAAAGAGAATGTTTTGATTTTATTGTAATAAGTTCATTATTAAATGTAATTAAAAACAGTATTAGTTATTATAAAGTAATGTTTTCTAGTCTAATCATTATTAAATAAACTAGGAAATTACCCAAGGCAACTGTGTTTACCTTCAGCCCCAAAGCCTCAAGTACCCCTGATCTAAAGTATTTGCAAAGAGTTATTTACAGTAAGTCGTCTAGTGAAATCTCATTCCTTCATTTTCTTTTCGGCTTAGTCGCTTTATTAATCTGGGGTCACCACAGTGGAATGACTCGCCAACTTATCCAGCATGTTTTACGCAGCAGATGCCCTTCCAGCCGCAACCCATCACTGGCAAACCCATACACACTCATTCTCACACATACATACACTGTGAACAATTTGGCTTAACCAATTTACCTATACCACTTGTCTTTGGACTTGTGGGGGAAACCCACGCGAACACGGGGAGAACATACAAACTCCAAACAGAAATGCCAACTGACCCGGCAAAGCTCAAATCAGCGACCTTCTTGCTGTGAGGCGACAGCACCTACCTACTGTGCCACTGTGTCGCCTGGTAAAATCAATATATATATATATATATATATATAGCGCAGAGAGGAAAAAAAGTATCGCAATGTCAATGTTTTCCAATATCGTGCAGCCCTAGTAAGACCACTGTAAACCATAATACATTTTTTAAATTTTCCAATGCAAATAGTTACAAAATCACCCCAATGCATTAAACACAAAACAGGACAGACATTAAATTAAACTACAGATTCTTCTCAATTTTTCTAAAATCAGTTTTCTTAGACAGTAAGTCTGACATATGAAAACTCATCCTGACATACAAAATCACATTTCTTTATTATTCATAGGCAGCTAAATATTACATTTATATCTGTCAGTAAGATCACCTGACAAAAATCATGCAATTTCTTTTAGATTAGGAGGGGGACACATCTTACCCCATTTTCCCTTATGGTGTCATCCGTTCCTATCATACTGATTAAAGACACAGCAACACATTTGTCTGTTTATGCATCCTATGCATAAGTGTCTTTCACTTCTTCAGAGAAGAGCAGCTTGCAGAGAAGCCAACACTATGATTTGTCTGATTTAATTTGATGCTATTATAATATGCATTGGTTCTTCTTTCTAATTTACTCTTCTGTGTACTCATCATCTTGACACTAATGTCGGCATTTTGCGACAGTTATTTCAAGCAAGAGACACAAGATCCATCAGCTGTTTACATTATTGACAGCTCGCGTGGGAGTTCCACAATCAACGCCTTAATGGTCAATCTAATGCATATTGCATATGCTGTATAACGTTCTTTAAAACCGTAATAAAAGTTCAAGTTTCAGTTTAGATGTCATGAAAAGTTCCAGACACTCACATTCAAGGAAAACGTCGCTGACAGACAAAAAAATAAATAAAATCTTCCATTCTTATAAAAGTCATTCATCTCTATAAAAGTGTAAGTTGCTGAAACATGGAAACTGAGTTGCTGCTTCATAACCCTGGACATCTGAACCGATCCGTATCTCCTGCATAAAGTAACCGTGATTAGTGCTGACAATAAAAAAACCTCTCCACCTACCTATACTGTTGGCGATGTAAAGAGTATCCGCGCGCTGAAAGTGGAGGAAAAATATGAAGAATGCACATCCAGGAGTAACATCCATGGCAGGTCCGCGGAGAGGGGAGAGCGCACGGCGAAAGGCGGACTTTGAGATCTCAGATAAGCGATCCAGCAGTGAACGCGGCCCCCTCCTTCCCCCCTCCCCTTCCTGACTGACTGCAAAGTGCACTGGGGAAGAGAGGCTCTGATTCTCGCCCTCCCTGTCCGGCCCTCTCTCCTCCTCCACAGGCCACGGGAAATGCAGATCCTCTCCTGACAGCAGATGACCACCGGCGGCTGATTCTTCTTCTGGTCAGAATAATGGGGAACTGCACTTTTATCATGCCTGTGATGGACTTGTAAAACACCATTAAGTTTATTTGTACACATAGTTTTACAAGTTTAATGGATGAAGATGTAGGAAGAAAAAAAATTAATTAGTGTAATATGAAATCATTGAATAGCACTACATGTACTTTTTTGGCGAGTTTTAGACCAAGTAAATGAACTGGGCTTTATAATCGCATGAGAAGGTAAACAGCAGTCTTCTTTAAAACAATATTCGACGTGGAGCGGGTCGCCCTCTCATGGGCACCGCCATGTTTGCATCACATGACCAACCATAGATTTTAAGAAAAAAAAAAAAAGAATATTCCAAATAGTAACTACTAACTGGTAGTGGTAGTAAGCTACTAACAAAATTAAAATAAAATAAATAGTAACAATGAATAAGCTAATAAGGCGTTGTTACTATTCCACCTGCATCAAATAAAATTTACAAGTGTTTACATGAATAAGGAAACATGCACCATCCTCTCAACCATAAAAATGCGTACATTAATAAAATGACAGCGGTGAGAGAACAGCGGTTAAGAAGGCATAATTACAGTGTTTGTGCCAGCTTAGCACTTTATACAATCTGTTGCTTTAATGAAAGCAGCTTAACAGTATTAAACATGTCCATTTCCTCTTCATAAAGAATAGCAACTTAAATTTGAACTATAAATCAGCTCTCTGGTGTTTGTTTTTACTCACAGTCATGTGATCTTGATAGACTGATTTAGGGCCACACCTATTACACTAATCTCCACAGACCAATGGTAGGTCAAAGGTGTTTACCACCAGACAAAACTTTTTTTGGAAAGTTACTTTAAACAAGTCCGGAAATAAACGTTAGCCATCTTTGTTTTGGCATGATTTTTTTAATTGTCATATTAGTTTGTTTATATATTTATTTTTAAATAGCTATATTGTGGCCATTGTGTACTGCCAAAACTAATCAGCCAAACCCTGGTCCTTCCAGAAGGATAGTTTGCAATTAAAGGTGCAGTAGGATATTTGGGAAAACGCTAAATTTAGCCTAATGATGGCATTGAGATGCATGTCCCTCCCTACATACAAACTGCAATCCAAAGCCATAGGCTCCTGAAGTTATGAACACACACCAAAAAGATGAAAACATTGTAAGACACCATTATAGTAGGCTACTGCAAATCCAAACTTAAAACCCTTTTAAAAAACAGAATTATATCTAACACTTTTTAGTTGTGTAGGAAGCAAAACTTATCGGTGTGTAATAATATTTATAGCATTCAAGGGTTTCCTCGTTGACAGTGTGCTTGGCTCCGCTGATGATGTAGAACAGGGCTTCTGGACTGCGAGGGTATTCAATTTGGACCCGACTCCATTTTGTATTGCAAGACCATGCGTAAAGGATTCAAATTGTGGATTTCCTTCAATGATAAATGCATAAACTTTGTAAATTAACTGTTTGGTTGTTTGCATTTTTGTAAAAAAATAAATAAATAAAAAGTACAGAAATGAAAATGAAATCGAAGGCGAAATATTCAAAGTTTTCCTGTTTGACTGTTGACATGACCTAGTGATTATATGAGGCTTCATGCGATCAAGCGGGCTAATCATGCATGCACGCTTGCTTTAACACACCGCAGCAAAGCGATGATATGAATGACTAAAAATTTCTGTCTCACAGAAAAGAAAACTTGATGGAGAGAAGAGAAAGGATAAAGTTGAATGGGCAGATAAGTATGTGTTTATTTTGCCACAAGCCAGCACAAAGCCATTCTGATTGATTTAATGTCTTTAATGAGACAAATGGAGTTGTAAAGAGTGGAAATGTGAAACGCCTCTATGAAATAAAACACCGACATTTTGAACAGCAGTATCCACAAAATACAGATATGGAGACCGCAAACTACAACACCTAATTTTCGTTAAACACCTTTTGTATTTTTTCACCTTTTTTGGAGAGAGATCTGCATGCAGACCTGGTGCAGTTGCAATCTGAGCTGCATGCAATGCTTTTTAATGACCACCCCTAACCCTACCCTTCACAGTGACTTCACTAACTCCATTGAGTGCATAGTGTCTAACATTGCATCTCTTAGATATGCAATCACAGCTTGTACAAAAGTACACTTATATTAGTTGTTTTGCCACATTTGCATTGCATTTAATGTTTGAACGCAAATGCACTTTATTTAAAGAAAAATAAATAGTGTTGCCTTGCAATGCATGTTATGGATGTTTATTAAAAACAAGTTATGTAATATCAATTGCTCCAGACTCTTGACCTTAATTAAAATTCAGATTTGGATGTTTTAATGTAAACATTGAGAACCCCTGACGTAGAATGTGAGCTAAAGTACATACACATCCTGCAAACCACGCAACAGTTCTCATTGTGTTCTGATTGAGCTGCTTTTCACTTGAGTTTTACACTTGTGTAATTTAAATGAGAACAAGTAAACAAGGATGTTTGAGGCTTATGGTATATTTATTTCTATATACTGAAGTCTTATTACTTGACTATGCCTATATGTATTCCCAGATTTTTTTTATAAGGCACCTTTAACTCCTCTAGTTGACCCCAAAGCAACTCTAATATTTATTAAGGTTTTAGAATGTTTTTTTATCCAGCTTTCTTCACAGAAGCACTTTTAAAGACGGTCTTTCTTTTCACTAATACAATAGAAACAAGGTTGATGTTGTTTGACTGACATGTATACAAATCTACACACTGTATGTTGACATACATAATCATAATGTTTTGTACATGCATTTTGAATGGATGAACATTTTTTATTCTCACGTGTTGCCCTGATCATAAACATAAATACATTTAGATCACTTACTTTACTCATTACTATCAGAATATGACGAGACTTTTAACCTGCACAAAAAAAAAAAAAACATAATCATCTATTGCACTTTTACGATGAAAATACAGAATAAGAAGGTGTTTACTATAAACTGGCATTCCTCATCTTTCATGTTCTATTTCTTACCACACACAAAATGAGTACATCTGTCATATTGTTTTTAATACCATACATTATATTTTTTTCTGGACCTGACCACACAGCAATTGAAGAAGAAGCATCTTGCTGTGTTATGAAGTTAGCGGATTATTGAAATAAATCACCTGCTGAGATTGGATGCCTGCTTCTTGGAAAAAGAATATCTAATGCATCTCTGTGGCACAGGAGGAAATGGATCATGTGACATCTATCTGTCAGCACCTTTACTTCAACCACCTCTGTTGGCAAAGGCTGTAAAAGTACAACAATCAGGATATTTGAAAGCATTGATGATGATTAAAGCCATGTAAGAGCCCATCACTACTGTGTGGTTTAATAAGAAACACTGTGGAGCTTTAACACTGATGACCATTTATAATGGGATGGTGTAAAATGCTTTTCCAATAAATTCTCCTCTGATTACACAGAGATGGCAAAATTATTTGGGCTAGATATATGTCGCTGCTGCAATCAGATACTATACAACATTGGTGACCCGGGGGTAGGCAACCCATCTGGCAACCTTTTACGGACCCAAGCAAAGAGTGCGGGGGGGTAGGGTTTGGTGGCGGGGCAGGTGTCACAAACAATAGTGACGAGCGAGGGGGGATTGCTTATTGGGTATTTTAGTACTCAGTTGGTTTGAGTTCTCTTCATTTAAGAAAATTCACTGACACTCTCAATTGCCAAAGCTACAATGTGAAAATATAAATTCTTTCAAACTTAACCCATGCTTGCCAACATTTGTCTCCAAAATTCCAGAAGACCAGTGGGGGGATGGACAGTTGGCTTTGGGGGTGGCAGTGTGTGTTTCTCTGAATAACACTAGGTTAGTAACTGTACTGTGGTGTGACTGAACTATGGACTAGAGGTCTGCATTCCCGCGGCTGTCCCGCGGGCCCGACCAGATTTCTGAGGCGCGGGAATAAATTTCTGAATAAATCGCGGGAGCGGTCGGTAACGGGTTTAATTTGGGACGGGAGCGGGCTGTCTAGCAATATCGCGGATATTGCTATGCGAATAAGAGAGAGAGAGAGAGAGAGAGAGAGAGAGAGAGAGCGAGCGAGGGAGCTTTGCCTGTGTGTGTGCATGTTAGTGCGCGCGCGCAAATGAGAGAGAGAGAGAGAGCTTATTTCCAGATAGCAATATACACTCGGGCCAGTTCCGGCTAGATTCTCTCCTGCCAGAGACTTACCACTCAGCCCGGCTCCGGCTGCCGGACTCCGGATGCTTGTGGACTCACTGCCAGATTCCGGCCCGAATCAATCGGGCCAGATGCTGGCGCGACTCAGTATTTATATACCTTTATATAAAACCTTTTGGTATTACATTGGTACTTGATACATGGTATTACAAGCCTTTGAGTTGATATAACAGCAAACGCCTGTGTGTCTGCTTGGTGCTTGTGTGTGTGTTAGTGAGCGCGCGCGCATATGAGAGAGAGAAAGATTTGTCTGTGTGTGTGTGCTTGGTGCTGTGTGTGTGTGTGTGTGTGTGTGTTTATACAGACAACTTGGCTGTCTGGACTGTATAGCTGGGGGATTTTCGGTTTTGTTCTCCCCCGCTCTTTAGCGGGATCGGGCGCGGCGGGCAGAAAACGGGGCGGGTCGGGCAGCGGGACAATAAATTCTTAATATAAGCGGGAGCGGTCGGGTTCGGGCTAAAACCTGGCGGGTGCGGGCGGGAGCGGGATTCAAAATTTAGTCCCGCGCAGATCTCTACTATGGACTTTGTTTTGGGTGCTGCTGTCATCATATACTATGCCAACGTTGACAACCCGGGGGTAGGCGACCCATCTGACGAACTTTCAGGGACCTAAGCAAAGACTGGAGGGGTGGGGGTTGGTTTGTGGCAGGGCAGGTGTCGCGGACAACAGTAACGAGCGAGGGGGATTGTTGAAAAAGTCGAAAGTGGGGGTAGGTTAGAGTCATGGACAAAACTGAAGAGGGGGAGGGGGGTGGTTGGCAGTGTCGCAGTCAAA